GGCATATGTACAAAACACAATAACGTTTTCAACTATGACCTTCACTGATGACGTCATCTAGGCGCCATTTTGTAAATTTTTCTGAAAATCAACTCATGATCATATCTTCATAAACAAAAGTTTTTTCTCATTCATATTTATCATGATTAAGGTCAATATCCGTCCGGTCAATTTAAGGTCAAAAAATGCTCACGTACGCGTACGTCCGCGCGTCGGTGCGCGCGCAAATTGTCAAAATGCTCCCCAAAAAACTCAAAATCATTTAGCATACGTTTTAGGCCATTTGAAGCATTTTATAAAAAATCTCGCACACGTGCATGCGCGCGCGTTTTCTTGCGTTCTGACATTTTGCAAAATAGAAACGCCAAATGTTCTTCGTCATCATATTGAGCACATTTTTTTCAAGCATTTTGATACCTTGTTCACCTTTTTCTGACCATTAATAACGGGGTGAGTGTCCGTTTAAGATACATGTCCGTGCGCGCGAGCTCTTGTAATACATTATGGGAAAAAATCATGCCCATACAAAATCCATTGTAGCTCTTTAGAATGTAAGGTGACCCCTATTTTTTCATATGTTGATAGAGTATGAATCGGAGATATGATTCCATGTCTCATTTGACCCTCAATTAACTCACGACGTCATCATAATGGCCTCCGAACTCATAATTTCAATTTGCATATTATGACGTCAGCATATTTTTTGAAAATTGATTGTATCTCTGTAAATATTGATCGATTTTCTTCCAAATTTTGATATGTTCTAGCTGGGACAATCTTCTACGAATGCAGCCTTCACAATTTTTCATTTTGACAAAAGCATCATGGCGTATTTTTGTGATTAAAGGAGGAATATCAATTTTTTTCACTTTTTGCGTGTATTCTTTATGGGACATGACTTTTTTCAAAACTGGATTCTACATTCCCGTCTTTCGCGAGCAATATCTCCGTCGTTTTAGCTTCGTTTACGCTAAACTTCGAGTATGTTGTAGCTGAGACAATAAGCTATATCAAATTTGCCCTTTATTTTGTCTCAAATTTTAGTTAGACCAGCCCACCTATACTTGTTCAAAACAAGTATTACAAATCTAGTTATTATTATTATCATCAATATTCATTCAATTCATTTCATCTACAATATTTCATGAAATGCATTCAGAAAATGAAGAACAAAAAGAACAAAAAATATTGTCGGCGAAGCATTTGTCGTAGTACTAGTAGCATTTGTATTTTATGGGACATTTTTTTGGGCGGAGCAATTGTCGGCGGAGCAAATGTCACCGGAGCAAGTGTCGCTTCAGGCGGAGCAAATGTCGGCGGAGCAACTGTTGGCGGAGCAATTGTCGGCGGAGCAAATGTCGCCGGCGCAATTATCGCGTTTTGCGGAGCAATTGTTGGCGGAGCAATTGTCGGCGGAGCAAATGTCGGAGGAGCAAATGTCGGCAGAGCATATGTCGGCGGAGTAAATGTCGGCGGAGCAATTGTCGGCGGAGCAAATGTCGCGGAGCAAATGTCGGCAGAGCATGTGTCGGGTTACCCTTCCATTATCCCAATTCCAAGCAGTAACAAATTGATATTTCAGGACTCATAATAAATTTGTTTAACAGTTGGTTCCGCTCGGTTGATTCTATTGTCGGATTATTTGGCAGAGAGAAATAGCAGTGGATACAATACAGTGCTATTTGAACAATATTTGATGACAAAAGACGGCACTCTAGCTGGTTCCATTTCTATGTAGCGTCACCTATCTAATGCTCTGACTGGGTGCTTTGAATCTTTAAAGTTATTTTCTGCCTGATAAGATGCAACACAGTGTTTACGAAGGTCATGATATCCCCGATTTCAGAATTTCACTTATTTCTCTTCTATGATACTGTTCATTATTTATTATCATCTAAAGCGTACTATTTAAAAAAATTCATTCTAAGTCTTAAAACCATATTTTCATTCAAATTTGGCATTTTCTTTTCAAAACAGATTAAGTCCACTTACTGTGTAGTACAGTAGATTTTGTTTAACATATGAATGATCGGATGCATATTCTTGTGAAAGGATGTTTGAAGCTCCTCAGTGTATCAACATATTACACATTTGTCAACCATTACCAGTTCATTATAAAGCCTTACTCATTATCAACTCACTTACCATTTGCATGCTTTTCCAGCCTATCATTGTTGGGAGATGATTTTTTTTCTTATGATGTGTGAACAACTTTTGCCATATTTTATAGTAGCTCGGAAATTCTTGTCTGTTGCAGGGAGTGTTAAAAAGCCAAAGTAAGGTGCAGCAGTTGTCTTTATAACTTGTTTTACATGTAAACGTGTTCTTAGCTTTGTATTTACATGTAGTTACATTTTCAATTTATGACTAGTTATTATCGTTTATTCCTTCATCTCTATTAAATGTATTTTTTATCTCATGGGTGTTCATACGTCTTGAAATAAAGTAAGCTAGTTTGGTCTGGAAACTGACGTTGTTTTTGTTGACATTTAAACATTAAAGGGGCACGTTCCCCGTATTCCAGAGGGCGCTCAAAATACGTACGCACTGGCGGACGGCGCTATAGCTGCCTATTGACACCACCAAAATACGGCTCTTACGCAAATGGCAAGTTCCGATAACTACACTGGCGGGAACGTGCCCCTTTAAAAACAATTCTCAAATTTTGAAGAAAAAATACCCCAAAGATTTTGCATGCCAATTTCATTCATGTTCTATGCTGGAGTATGTGTACTTGTAAATCCCTGATAGACGTAGTAGGAGAAGCGAGAGAGAGAGAGAGAGATAGAGAAAGGAAGAGAGAGAAATACACAGAGAATGAGAGAGAGAGAGAGAGAGAAAGGTGAGAGGGGAGAGGGGAAGAGAGAGAGAGAGAGAGAGAGTGAGAGAGAGCGAGAGAGAAATGTGAAATTTAATATGTACACATGTATAGGATGTGTGCGTGTGCGGGGGTGCATGTCCCAGTGTGTGCATTTGTGCAGTTTGAATACCTATATCTATATAGTATGAATGAGAGCGATACAGACAAACAGTGGGGACTGCAATATCGACAAAGGAGGACCCCTCTGTTCATTGTACGGGACACCCCTCACCACGCGTAATGGAAGAGGCCAAACCCTTACACCATTGATGTTCTGCATACAAAATGTGGAGGCTGACTTTTTGTTCGTGTCGCCCTAAAACTTTTCATGACGCGACTTTAGATTCAACTCTGGGTTTAAATTTTATTAGAAACGGGTCAATGCATGATTGCTCTTGTGTCTCGGTTTTCTCTAGAATTGTGCGACGCATATTTGTCCTCATATCAATAGAAGTCAAGAAAAAGCGAAGCGGTCTCTTTACACGGAGTCGACATGAAATCAGATGTTTTTCTACAGAGTTGATATTACGTTAATATGTAGGCCAGGAAGATCACATGCTTTGTACGAGACTGTGGATTACTTTTTGATGTGAGGAAATGGAATCCAAAGCGGATGTATACTCGTTTGGAGCGATAGAAGGGAGAGCCTTACTGAACATGTACATGACCGGTTAGAGTTAACGCCCTTTTGAAGCCCTCTTTGAAGCGATAGAAGAGAGAGAGAGAAAGAGAGAGAGAGAGAGAGAGAAAGAGAGAGAGAGAGAGAAAGAAGAGAGAGAGAGAGAGAGAGAGAGAAAGAGAGAGAGAGAGACCCTTACTGCACGTCGCTGGATAGGATAAACGCTCTTTTTAAAGCGATAGGAGAGAAAGCCTTACTGAAGTTGTACGCCACCGGTAAGGATTAACACCTTTTGAAGCGATAGGAGAGAGAGCCTTACTGAACTTTTACGTCGCCGGATAGGATAAACGCTCTTTTAAAGCGATAGGAGAGAGAGCCTTACTAAACTTGTACGCCACCTGATAGGATAAACGCCCTTTTTAAAGCGATAGGAGAGAAAGCCTTACTGAACTTGTACGCCGCCGGTAAGGATTAACGCCCTTTTTGAAGCGATAGGAGAGAAAGCCTTACTGAACTTGTACGCCACCAGTAAGGATTAACGCCCTTTTTGAAGCGATAGGAGAGAAAGCCTTACTGAACTTGTACGCCACCGGTAAGGATTAACGCCTTTTTGAAGCGATAGGAGAGAGAGCCTTACTGAACTTGTACGTTGCCTGATAGGATAAATGCTCTTTTCAAGCGATAGGAGAGAAAGCCTTACTGAACTTGTACGCCACCGGTAAGAATTAACGCCCTTTTTGAAGCGATAGGAGAGAAAGCCTTACAGAACTTGTACGCCACCGGTAAGGATTAACGCCCTTTTTGAAGCGATAGGAGAGAGAGCCTTACTGAACTTGTACGTCGCCTGGTAGGATAAACGCCCTTTTTGAAGAGATAGGAGAGAAAGCCTTACTGAACTTGTACGCCACCGGTAAGGATTAACGCCCTTTTTGAAGCGATAGGAGAGAAAGCCTTACTGAACTTGTACGCCACCGGTAAGGATTAACGCCCTTTTTGAAGCGATAGGAGAGAGAGCCTTACTGAACTTTTACGTCGCCTAATAGGATAAACGCTCTTTTAAAGCGATAGGAGAGAGAGAGCCTTACTGAAGTTGTACGCCACCGGTAAGGATTAACGCCTTTTTGAAGCGATAGGAGAGAGAGCCTTACTGAACTTTTACGTCGCCTGATACGATAAACGCCCTTTCCGAAACATCATGGAATGCAGGAAACCAATTCGACGGATAATGAAGATGAGCACATTCAGATAAGCCACCCTTTCATGTCTTAAGTGCTTTAAAAATATGTGAAAGCATAATGTCAGTATTCAGTGCTTTCCCTCGATTTCGTACTACCAATCATCTCTTTAATATGCAGTACCATGCGTAGTACATCTTTCTATATCCTATGTTCCCCCTGGTTTATTCAAATTTAAATACTGAATTGTTATGGATTGGTTAATTTTCCCGTTAACTACATAAATACATAATTCCTTCCTATGGCGACAGACAATACACATACCGAGAAGGAAGACAGAGTGAACATGGCGCTTTTTACAGCGGTGATGGAAGGCGATCTTGTAAAGACAAGGTCTATTCTAGAAGACGAGACAGGTGATGCCAAGCTAGTCATGCTACACAGTGTGGATCCTGATGGAAATACATCCCTCCACATCGCTTCAGAAGAAGGGCATATTGACCTCGTGACCTATTTGATTGATTTAGGGGCGGATATAGAAAAGCGAAGTAGAAGCGGTGACGCCCCTCTTCACCTCGCGTCTCGGAGTGGTCACCAGGATGTTGCTCAATATCTCATCAGTAAAGGAGCAAATATCAATATTGGTGATAGCAATGGCTATACACCTATCTATCTTGCTTCGGAGAAGGGTAATTTTTGTGTTGTTGAATGTTTAGTCGATTCTGGAGCAGATGTAAACAAAGCTTCATATAATGGTTCTACACCCATTTATACTTCAGCAAGTAAGGGTCACCTTGATGTTGTGAAATATCTCATAACTAAAGGAGTCGAAATTGACAGAGATGGCGATGATGGCTATACACCTTTGCATCTCGCCTCACGTGAGGGTCACCTTACTGTTGTTGAATGTCTGGTAGATGCAGGAGCAGATGTAAATACAAAAGCAAAAAATGAATGGACCCCTATGTATGCAGCATCTAATAAAGGTCATCTAGACATAGTGAAGTATCTGATTACAAGAGGAGCATATATTGATAGGAGAGGTTATAACGGACAGACGCCCCTAGGTGTCGCATCAATTTATGGCCATCTTGCAGTTGTCAAGTATCTTACCAGTCAAAGAGCAGATAAAGACATGTATGATAACGATGGCTGTACACCTCTATATGCTGCTTCACAGGAGGGTCATTACGATGTTGTACAATATCTAGTAAACGAAGGAGCAAAGGTGAACAAAGCAGCAAATGATGGTAATCTATCCCTCCATGCTGCCGCTCGTCTGGGTCATCTAGACATAGTGAAGTATCTGATTAACAGAGGAGCAGATATTGATAGGAGAGGTAATAGCGGTAAGACGTCTCTTTATTTCTCATCATTCTCTGGCCATCTTGCAGTTGTCAAGTATCTTATCAGTCAACAAGCAGATAAAGACATGGGTGATAACGATGGCTTTACACCGCTATATGAAGCTTCAGAGAAGGGCCATCACGATGTTGTACAATATCTAGTGAACGAAGGAGCAGAGGTGAACAAAGCAGCAAATAATGGTGATCTATCCCTCCATGCTGCCGCTCGTCGGGGTCATCTAGACATAGTGAAGTATCTGATTGACAAAGGAGCAGATATTGATAGTAGAGGTTATAACGGCAAGACGCCTCTTCATTTCTCATCATTCCATGGCCATCTTGCATTTGTCAAGTATCTTATCAGTCAAGGGGCAGATAAAGAAATGGGTGATAACGATGGCTATACACCTCTATATGATGCTTCACAGGAGGGTCATCACGATGTTGTACAATATCTAGTGAATGAAGGAGTAGAGGTGAACAAAGCAGCAAATGATGGTGATCTATCCCTCCATGCTGCCTCTCGTCCGGGTCATCTAGACATAGTGAAGTATCTGATTGACAAAGGAACAGATATTGATAGGAAAGGTTATAACGGCATTACGCCTCTTGGTGTCGCATCATTCTCTGGCCATCTTGCAGTTGTCCAGTATCTTACCAGTCAAAGAGCAGATAAAGACATGGGTAATAACGATGGAGACACACCTCTATATTATGCTTCACAGGAGGGTCATCACGATGTTGTACAATATCTAGTGAGCGAAGGAGCAGAGGTGAACAAAGCAGCAAATGATGGTGATCTAGCCCTCCATGCTGCCGCTCGCCCGGGTCATCTAGACATAGTGAAGTATCTGATTGACAAAGGAACAGATATTGATAGGAAAGGTTATAACGGCATTACGCCTCTTGGTGTCGCATCATTCTCTGGCCATCTTGCAGTTGTCAAGTATCTTACCAGTCAAAGAGCAGATAAAGACATGGGTAATAACGATGGATGTACACCTCTATATGATGCTTCACAGAAGGGTCATCACGATGTTGTACAATATCTAGTGAACGAAGGAGCAGAGGTGAACAAAGCCACAAAGCGTGGTTCTACACCTCTGTTTGCAGCATCTCATGAAGGTCATCTAGACATAGTGAAGTATCTGATTGAAAAAGGAGCAGATATTGATAGGAAAGGTTATAACGGCAATACGCCTCTTGATGATGCATCATTCTCTGGCCATCTTGCAGTTGTCAAGTATCTCATCAGTCAAGGAGCAAATCAAAACATGGGTGATAACGATGGCTTTACACCTCTATATGCTGCTTCACAGGAGGGTCATCACGATGTTGTACAATATCTAGTGAACGAAGGAGCAGAGGTGAACAAAGCAGCAAAGATTGGTGCTACACCTCTGCATGTAGCATCTTATAAAGGTCATCTGAATATAGTGAAGTATCTGACTAACAAAGGAGCAGATATTGATAGGAAAGGTTATAACGGCATTACGCCTCTTGGTGTCGCATCATTCTCTGGCCATCTTGCAGTTGTCAAGTATCTTACCAGTCAAAGAGCAGATAAAGACATGGGTAATAACGATGGATGTACACCTCTATATGATGCTTCACAGAAGGGTCATCACGATGTTGTACAATATCTAGTGAACGAAGGAGCAGAGGTGAACAAAGCCACAAAGCGTGGTTCTACACCTCTGTTTGCAGCATCTCATGAAGGTCATCTAGACATAGTGAAGTATCTGATTGAAAAAGGAGCAGATATTGATAGGAAAGGTTATAACGGCAATACGCCTCTTGATGACGCATCATTCTCTGGCCATCTTGCAGTTGTCAAGTATCTCATCAGTCAAGGAGCAAATCAAAACATGGGTGATAACGATGGCTTTACACCTCTATGTGCTGCTTCACAGGAGGGTCATCACGATGTTGTACAATATCTAGTGAACGGAGGAGCAGAGGTGAACAAAGCAGCAAAGATTGGTTCTACACCTCTGCATGTAGCATCTTATAAAGGTCATCTGAATATAGTGAAGTATCTGACTAACAAAGGAGCAGATATTGATAGGAGAGGTTATAACGGTAAGACACCTCTTGGTGTCGCATCAATCTCTGGCCATCTTGCAGTTGTCAAGTATCTTATCATTCAAAGAGCAGATAAAGACATGGGTGATAACGATGGATGTACACCTCTATATGATGCTTCACAGAAGGGTCATCACGATGTTGTACAATATCTAGTGAACGAAGGGGCAGAGGTGAACAAAGCAGCAAAGAGTGGTTCTACACCTCTGTTTGCAGCATCTCATGAAGGTCATCTAGACATAGTGAAGTATCTGATTAACAGAGGAGCAGATATTGATAGGAGAGGTTATAAAGGCATTACGCCTCTTAATTTATCATCATTCAATGGCCATCTTGCAGTTGTCAAGTTTCTCATCAGTCAACGAGCAGATAAAGACATGGGTGATAACGATGGATGTACACCTTTGTTTGCTGCTTCACAGGAGGGTCATTACGATGTTGTACAATATCTAGTGAACGAAGGAGCAGAGGTGAACAAAGCAGCAAATGATGGTGATCTATCCCTCCATGCTGCTTCTCGTCGGGGTCATCACGATGTTGTACAATATCTAGTGAACGAAGGAGCAGAGGTGAACAAAGCAGCAAATGATGGTGATCTATCCCTCCATGCTGCTTCTCGTTGGGGTCATCTTGATGTTATAGAATATCTCATTACGAAAGGAGCAAATATCGAGGCACATAATAATGACGGTTGGACAGTTTTTCATTTTTTGGCAAATAATGGTCATTTCGAATGTTTGAAACATTTCTTGAGAAATAACTCCAGCGGTTCATCGGGATATAGTCTCATCGCTCTTAAAGTTGGACTTCAGGTGGGTTACTCAATTCAACCGGCTCTTTTGTCTTACTAAACAGTCGAATCGTGTCGCGCTGGCCGTAATTTATTTAGCCATCCATTTTTGTGTGGTGTTTTTAAGTGTGCTGTATCAGATTGAAAATTATAGACGGGTCCTTCGGGATGAGTTACCCAATTTCAGGCTTTGAGATATACGAGTAAAGATTTAAAGTATACTAATGAAAGGATGTAGCTGAGAAAAGTTAAATATTCCTTAATATTGAACCTCTCACACACAACTTGTCAAACTGTTTTACTGTCCCAACGGTTTTATTTTGTTTTCTTTAAATAATATGCCTGTTGATGAGACATTACTTACGTCACTTACCACTACCTGCGTCACGTAATTGGGAGGTAATTGTCCCAGGCATGATAATTATCATGGTGTCGTCATCCCTGGTGTTATTGATCTTTAGTTAGAAAACACACACAAGTGTTTAAAAAGGAAGAACAATACGAAAGGAAATGACCAGCGAGAAAAAAATGGGAGGACATTGTACAAGATTTACGGTTATGCATATTAAACAAAACATTTGGAATTCGGAATGGCTAATGGATCTTACAAGTGTCCTATCCCTTTTTGTTTTCACAGAGCATCTTAAATCGCATTGTAACGAAATAATTGTTCTAGCAGTGCTGAAGGTATTCGTTAAAAGAAATATAATCACTGTCGAATAAATACATTAAAAAAGGAAAAGATGCTATTCTATCAACACAATGATCATCCAAGTCATAAGCATTCCATATTCTCCCTGATTGTCTCTTATGTAGGGCAAACTATATTAATCGATGAGTTTAGAGTAGGACTACATATGTATCGTATTGTAGACCTACTTAACACATGTAGGCAGCGTACCTATATTATTTATCTTACAGACCTTAGAAGGTGTCACGCCACTTATGGTTGCTGCCAGGGGAGGACATCTGGACTGTGTACGTCTGCTGCTCGAAAACAATGCAGATATTGAGACAGAAGATGCAGAGGGATGGACAGCCCTCCATTATGCTGCAGCAAGGTGAACCGTTTCAAGAACATGTTCATAATTTAATAATAGTTCTAATCTTCTCCTCGACTGTATCACAAAATACTACTAGGGTTGAAATGTAATGTTGTTGCATTCGATAAAAACGTTCATCCTTTTTATTCATGCAAAACATTTTTTCTTAGTTTTCTTGAAATGGTGCTTAATATGTTATTTCTTTGGATCCCATTTTAACGAAGGTTTATTAGCGCTTTCAAAGGACACGCAGAATAGAAAATGTATGAGATACTACCTAAATTTCAGCTACAATTAAATCACCTTTTATTGATACTTAGTTATGCAGTATGATTCCGAAAAATATGATGCAAAAATAGGTAACTTTGAAAGCAATTATAATTTCGTCCATAATTTGAGAATCATGCTGTGGTTAATTATAAACAGAACATTTACAAGGCTAATAAATACTTTGTACCTAAAGAAGCGATCTTAGATTCCAAATGTTAGTAATATATATAAGAATACAGTTTAAAATGAAAATAGTTCTCCGATGGTTAACGAAAAAAGACAAATGGAGAAGAAAAAAAACCCCGTAAGAGCTACAAAATATACGAATTGTAGGCGTTAACCCTTTGTCCAGGAATTACAAATATATTCAGATTTATTTCAAAAAATGAAAATGAGGCGTAACCGTTGCTAAGTGAGCACAGCTCACAAAATAAAGAGGATAAGTTTGTTAGAAAGAAAAACATGACGAAACAGAGAAAACTAGAAATAAAAGAAGAATGAGGTAGAGATGCGCGAGAATACCAAAACAAAGGAAAGGACTAGAAATGTGCGGAAAATGGAAGGGGAACGAAAGAAAAGCAGCGCGAGAGAAGAGAAAAGAAAGGAAGAGAGAGAAAGAGAGAGAGAGAGAGAAGGGGGGGGGGGTGAACAAAAGAGAAAATGAGAAAAGATCCCCATAAAAAAGCAGATTTACAGTATTTGTATATTTAAATAATGAATAAATGTTCAAGATGTTTTTTTTCTTTTTAATAAAGTGGGAATGAATCAATAATGAAGGATTTACTGGATCAGAAAGCAATTATGAGCACGAGACTTTCCAGAAGAGGTCAATCACCAATAAGTATTGCACTGAGATGTGGCAATGTTGACACTGCACGGATTCTTCTTGATAAGGTAAATGTAGCTGTAACTCATTCAGCTTGTGTTGTTTATACTAATGACTTATGTCATATAGCTGATGCAGTACCACCGTCACCTATACTACACCCCCAATTACCTTTACACTTCATCAACAATAGTTTTGATTACTATACAGTTCTGCTATTAGACCTGCTGATAGTAATCCTAAATAAGTATATTCTCTTTCATGATGGTTATATATAACAAGCCAATAGTAAATGTATATCACATTATTATATAATGATAATGATAGTAATGAATGTTCGACAATGTTTTATCTATCGAGTGTCATTATTTGTATATCTTCGACTTTATATTATGGATGGCGTTCAATATGAAGTTTATGTGTTCATATGATTATACAGACAAACATCAAAATTCATAAAAGGCACATCACCATTGCATGACAATATCTAAATTCCATCAGTTATTTTTTTTTCTTCTTCAAAGGATGCATCATCTATACAACACAGCGACAGTGCTGGTCTAACACCCATTCACCTTGCTACTATAAGCGGGCTAACATCAATCATTGAGAAGTTGATATCAGTAGGTGCTGGTTTAAATCCTCAGTCACACGATGGCCAGACGCCCTTACAGATTTCCATCAGACTATGCCACTGTAAGAAAAGACAGGTTGAAGTGACGACAGCTTTGAAGCAGGTTACGTTTTTCTTGATTTAGTTTCTCTTTAAGTGAGAACTGTTAGTGTATCTAAATGAATCTCTGAATATGGGAAGGACAATGTCCTTAATAGTGAACGTTATAAATATTTGTTGATATGTAATTTATAAAATAAATACCCTCTCCGTTTGTTTTATTTGATACATATTTTTTAACGATCTTTTCACCAACTGATGCAATGAAACTTTTGTGAATGTGTGTGATGTGCGCGTGAGTAAATGTGTGGGAGTGGCCATAGAACGAAGGTTGGGGAGGAGGGGGGGGGGTGGATGGAGGGGGGTGGCTTAGTTGCGTTTAGTCTGTATATGTTGGATTATTATTATTAGCAGTAATAGTAGCAGTAGTAGTATTAGGCCTATCAATATCATTATTATTACCATTATCACTACCATTATTATCATCATTATAATTTCATATTAAAAGCCGATAGTGCCATGTGAATAGATTGCTGCAAATATAAGGATCTTAACCCCCCGTTACCGGTAGGAGTGTAGAAACAACATTTAATCGAAACATTCTATTTTTGTATTATTGTTTTATTCAAAATATTCTAGTTCTTTTACCATTTTCATTAACGAAATAGATACAACAAGAGAGTGAGGATGACTTATCACCTGCGGAGGCTCTGATACAATTCCTAATAAATCAAGGATCCAAGATCGACATCAAAGATAACAAAGGTTTTACTCCGGTACAGTATGCCAGAGAGGAGCGCATTAGGCAAATGGTATTCCGGAGGTAAGACAATTATAACAATTAGTTTACCAGGCTCTGTAAAATATGATTCAAGATTTAATTATTCAAAAATGAATCAATAAACTTGCGTAAATTATCTGCGTAATAAATGTTCACATTTTGTATAACATTCTTGTATGATTCAAATTCAGGTTCTCTGAAAGATTCGTTTTTAATTTTCATAAGATTTGTCGGCTACATATTTTATTTTGCTGCAAACAGCAGTCGTTAAAGAATTATAATTGTGCATCATCACATAAATCAAAACAATGTTGATGCATGACTGTAATATAAAACAATGTGTACTACGGCGTAAAACATGGATGTATCATAGGTTAAACATCACATTTCTAAATATACTCATACAATATATTTTTGGTTCTTTGGCAGCTTATCCGAAGATGATGTTCATATATTCCGGGGTACGTATTTCATTTAATTTTGAATTGTTTTACTACTCACTAAGATTGTTTTCGAGGGTCAATAAATGAAAATGCTACCCCACTCGACCCGTTTTATGCACATCTCCAAAGTTAAAACAAAAACAATAGTTTATGCGCTCTTTGTTTCTACAAAACCAAAATAAATATGTAATATCCTCTTTTGGATATGATAGTGCGGCGTTATTCTGCAATCGAATTCGATTTGACGATTCGTTAACTTATCAACCGTACAGCGTTGACAAAACGATGTCCTTTTTAGGCTATCCATTAGAGTAATAAGGAATGAGTAATCATTGAGCTATCAATACCTCATACCATTCATCTTTTTTTCCTCGTTTCTTCCCCCCCCTCCCCTTTTTTTTGGTTTAGATCTGCCGATTGCAAGATCTACTGAAAGTCATCGCAGTATTGGCTGTGAAGGAGGGATTCTAAGTTTCGATAGTTGTGACGTCACAATGTCGATTCCACCAAGGAGAGTGCAAGCTGGTACTTGCCACGATGTATCAATAGCTCTAGTCACTGATGATCCCCCACCTATCCGAGAGAGAGAGTTTCTTACAGGCTATGGCATTGGCATCACATTCCCTGTACAGTGGCGCTATTCTACGAACCAGCCTATAACGTTAAGTCTCCCTCATGCCGCAACACTGCTGGAGTCAAACGGTGTTCATGCTGGGATCATCTGGAAACAAACTGAATCAACTTCAGGTAATAGTTGTCAATAGGAGGATGCGAGGGAGTTGTTATTAATACAAAATACCACTTTTCAAGATTCACCACGTGAGATTCAAGTGGCCCCCATAATTGGCGCAGTGAAACAGTTAATTGATAATAATATGTTTTTAACAAATTTTACAGATTATTTCGCATACATTGCTCACTCAGCTAGTTATATATTTCATCGAAACTCCATTTTATATCATAATTTCCTCAATTGTATTAATAGCCTACTTATTAGCGTGAATGTTGTGAACTAGAAAATTTGCAACATATTGAAGAATGTTCAAAGCCATTACATCAATAAGGGTCTTACCAAAGAAAGCAAACCCTTACCTATTTTAAAATAGATTAATATCTGATTTTTTTCAATATGCAATTACTTACAGTTAACCGTGATGAATCATTTGATGATAGTGAAACGCAATGTATCATTAAAGAAAGGCAAATCAACCTCATCATAGATGCCTTATCTGTCATTAAGGACAAGGTACAGCTATGGATACCGATAAAGCTTCATCATGCTCATGGTAAACGAATGGCATGCACCCCTTTCCTTCCCGTTGACATGGCACATGGGGAAGACATCACACTCCGGATATACATACATGAAGACATACCTTACATTGTTCAGGTAATATGAGGAAATATATATATATATATATATATATATATATATATATATATATACACACATATATATCGAAATATCCGACCAAAGTGAGTACACCCTCTCTATTAAAACAAAAATGTTCCAATGAAACCGCTTAGTGAGCTACATTGTCAGCACGGTTATCATGGTAGAAATGTGTTGTACCTTAAATGTGTCACTGAATGCATAGTCTTTCATTGTCTTTAAGTCTTGTTTTTCATTCAATTTTGTAAATGGTTACTTAAAAATGTTTAATTTTTGTTACGGGTTTACTCTCATTTCTTGGATGATGTATATTAAGGCCTGTTATTGTTATTGATAGGGCAACATCAATTTATACACCTCTGAAGATGGCGCATGGCTTAGCTGGAAATTGTTACATATATTTTATAATAATTAAAAAAAACATTATTTCATAATTGTCAGATTGTTTACTTTTATAGTACAATTGTCTCTCTTGCAAAGTTGCACCCAGTATTAGTATCGGTCTAAAAAATAGAAATGTTTAACGGTCTCTCTATGTATTTGAACTCCAATTTCAAGACTATCCTTTCGTACAAATAACCTTTAAAATCACCTATTTCATGGTGTTTAAAAGACATATATCGTATCGTTTTGAAATTCATTATAATTTTTTGTCCAGACAAGAAGGAAATTCCTTTGAGTACAGTATGATACATCAAGAAAGCCACATTATAAAGCAAAACTCATTCTATTAACATGTGAATAGTGTTCCAGATTCAGACAAGATTTTGGTGGAGACCCTAAAGATATTTTTTAATCTAGATAGTTAATAAAAAAACAAACAGTTTCATTAACTTAAACGTGTGAAACATTTCGAAGTAAATATTTTAGAACTGTTTAACAGATTTCTATCAAATGCAACATACTTTAATCTAATTCAACAATCGTAGTACACTGTTGGTCATAATGGTGGAATAATTATTTTTAACCCAATTTATTGAATGATTTTGACAATGATTTATTCCTAATAGATCTAGATAATAGTATACATTCTCAGATTTTATTGAATGACAATTGGGGAGTGTTTGTTTTGCGTGACTGCTAAAGCATGTGGGTGCTACTATGCTAATCAACTAGGGGACCTACGTCCTTCAGTCATAACTGAGAGTAATGGGGATTAATGCCTTATAAAAGGGCACTGATATAGCATATCGACACGGTTTTGATCCTGGGGGCTCACAGTGACGAGGCCATTGCTTAGCCAATAAATCATGACTGTACGCAGCGGGCGCTAGGGTACATCGACGCCCCCTCATAAACAAAAAACGAAGAAAATGCAATTAATTTTCAATAATTAATTGCAATTAACTTTATGTATTTACAATTACATTATAACTTTATGTATTTCAATCATTACATTTATAAAATGTGCTGTTACTGTTTTTGTGTATTTTTTTTAAACAGAAAATTCAGGAAGAAGAGGAAAATTTTCTTTACCATCAAGTACATCCTGGAAGATGTTTTGCACTTAAACCTGAGTCAAGTGATCTAGAGCTCGAATGCAATCGGAGAAAAAAGGTAAAAACTATTCTACAAGGATTCTTAGGTTAATATTTCAACATTCGAAATTTCATTTAAAGATGTGCTTGGTACAAGGCATTAAATTCAAAGAAATTTCCTCAGTGCTACTATTAATGGCCTGCTCATGCCGAGTTAACTCTCAGTAAACTTCAATCAGGCTATGCCTCTATTTTAGGCTATGTTCGTAAGTGTATACTATATATATGCACGTGCGTATCACAAACAAAAGTTGGTTTTTAAATCAGGATGTTTGTTTCGCGCTGCATTCGCTACTGGCTTAAAGCAAAAGTATAGGGTAAGTGTCAGGGTGGCATTTGGGATTTGGTTAGGTATAGGGCAAATATTAGGGTTATATTTTGTTGTACTTTTAGCCAACAGGGCTACATTCGATAAGTGTTATTGCGGAGTAATCACGGCGTCTTTAGCATTGCCCCAATTCTGTTGGGAGTAAACAACACTAAATAATGTACATATAATATTTTGTCAGATCATATCTGCGACAGAATTATTCAACCGGCAGAAGACACTAGTTTCGATGCCAATTACGACGGAAACCAATGCCAGAATGCAGATGATTAACATTTCGATTTCAGCAACAAGTACCAATCAACCAAATACCAGCATGACGTTCATGGCTATACGGACTGGTTTGTCAATCTTCTTCTTCTTCTCCTCATCATTCTTCTCCTTCTCTCTCTCTCTTTCTTCTTCTTCTTTGTCAAATTCTCCATCTAATATTTCTTCTACTTCATCTTCTTTTAATTCCTTTCTTCTTTTATCCTATTTCTCCTCCTTTTCAAACTATACTATAAACAACAGTATTTATAGCTTAAAATGTTTCAATTTTATCATTTTTATGGCATCCAGGATCACTGCATATTTTTCATTTATGTTATATTCTAAGATGTATCAATTTGTAAACTTGACGAGAACTTATCCGTGGGTGATTTTATAGTAGTAAAACAAAACATATATTGCACGGTACCTTTAAAAACAAGGAATGAAAAAGATTCGTAAATATCATGTAATTGCTTATTTTGTTAAACGCAAGTGTCATGTCCTATTATCATCAATTGAAACTACTCTTGTTCCAATGAGAACAGTGTGTTCACTTGAAAATGTTGTCATTTTTCTCCAAGGATTCTCCACCGACATACATTCAAGCCTAGATGAGATTGTCCCCGGATCAAACACTGACCTTAGGTAAAATTACTCTAAGAAAACATATTTGTTTTACTTTAACAACTTGTTGTGCCAATTCTATTTTGCTCATTATTATTACTACTATGCCTTTTCCCCTGTGTGGCTCGCTCTTAATCATTATTATTTTTGTTTATTATTAATGATTTCTTAATGTTAATTGTGTCAGCTGAAAAAAATGAACATCTTTACACGAGATAAAATACAATGCATTACTGTATTATTAAAAGAACCAATAGAAGAAAAATACACAAATCTGGGATGCTAGAAAATGAAATTATCTAGCCTTACTAATAAATTAAATCAGGGCCCTTTTTCTCTTCTCCCTGCATTCCCATTTAAAGCAACGCTGGAGAAATTCGGAGTGAGGATTTCATCACACAAGAGATGAACACTGATCAGTACTACCATCTTGGTCTAGCATTGGGTTTGTCCTACCAGACACTTGACGGCATCCAGTTCAGAAGCAGACAGCATGAGGAGTCTGGGGTTTATACCCAAAATCAAAAAGCTGCTATCTTCATGATCCGCTATTGGAAATGCTTGCAGCACTCTGTCTCCATAAAAGACGATCCTCTAAGAGAAGTGTGGAAGTCTGTGAGCGATTCAAGACATTCAATCCCTGTTTTGAAACAAGGACGAAGATCGGGTAAGAACGCGCTAAATATTGAAACACAATTAAACACAATCTAAAACGGTTCTAGGACAACTACCCCCTGGGCAATCACCCCCCGGAAAATTACCCCCCGGAAAACTACCCCCAAAGGACAATTACCCCCTGGAATATTACCCCCCGGAGAATCACCCCCCGAGGACAACTACCCCCAAGGACAATTACCCCCCGGAAAATTACCCGCGGGAGAATTACCCCCCGAGGACAATTACCCCCCGAGGACAACTACCCCCCGAGGACAATAACCCCCTAGGACAATTACCCCCCGAGGACAATTACCCCCCGAGGACAACTACCCCCGAGGACAATTACCCCCTAGGACAATTACCCCCCCCCCCGAGGACAATTACCTCCCGAGGACAACTACCCCCCGATGATAATTACCCCCCGAGGACAATTACCCCCCGATGACAACTACCCCCGTGGACAATCAGGATTCAATAGCAAAAGACGATCTGACACATTCAAATACTCTAGCACGTTGTCTTTCTCATTACTACACATTTCCCTTTTATTATAATTTATGCAACGCCAGCGCGGTTGCTAATTTCCATGAAGGATGTAAGTTTTAGGTAATTGTCCAGCGCTTTTCAAAATGCATAGAAATACATTTCTCTGGAGCAGCGTTATTTTAGCTTTTTGTTAGTCACGATACCCTCTTAAGAAATGCAAAAGTTCTCCCAAATCCCAAAGTCTTTACAGACTATTAATTTTGCATGACTCTGGCTCTCGTCAAGTACTATGCACACACGTATGGGCACATTTAAGAATAAAAAGACATTTTCAAACTGGTAAAAAAATAGTTTGTAATCCACACACTAAAAACTATTTAAAGTACTGCATGCGGGCACCTTGCCGCACTGGCGTACTGGTGGGGGGGGGGGGGGGCTTGGGGGCGCCAGCCCCCCCCCCAAAAAATATATAAAACAAATTGAATCATGACTTATTTTCAATTCCATATACAAGTGATGTATAAATGTTCGTGATATCACATGATTTTCAACAAAATGCGCGTTTCTCCATTTCTGTTGCAAACTGACACATTCCCAAATGGCCAGGAAGAGCATATGTTTTTTTTTATAGTCACTAAGGGGCCGTGGCCACTAACAGTAACACTAGTAAAAAAAATCCTTTCCAGAAGCAACTGTGACAAGCACTGCCGGGCGTTCCATACTTACATCATGTAACACTGCACATTTGTACCGTTAAGGGGGCCCAGTGGGAAAATTAAATTCAGACAAGATTAAGAGTAGTGAACGATACAACGAATCGTTTTCCTTCTTTAATAATTTAATGAAGTGTCAAAGCTTCCGCGCTTTGCGTGAGATGGGCAAAAATGAATTGAGACAAGGATTAAGAGTCGGAACCGGTCAAAGCTTCCGTGCTTCGCGCGGGAGGGGGGGGGGGTAAAACTGAATTCAGACAAGAACACGATACAACGAATCGTCTTCTTTCTCTAATAATTTAGTGTAACGTGAAAGCTTCCGCGCTTCGCGCGGGATGGGCAAAAATGAATTCCGACAAGGATTAAGAGTATAGTTTAATGAAACGTCAGAGTTTCCGCGCTTCACGCGAGATGGGCGAAAATGAATTCAGACAAGGATTAAGAGTGGGAACCGGTACAATGAATCGTCTTCTTTCTCTAATAATTTAATGAAGTGTCGAAGCTTCCTTCAGACAAGGATTAAGAGTAATAATTTATTGAAACGTCAAAACTGCTTCGTGCGGGATGGGCGAAAATGAATTGAGACAAGGATTAAGAGTCGGAACCGGTACAATGAATCGTCTTCTTTCTCTAATAAGTTAATGAAGTGTCGAAGCTTCCGTGCTTCGCGCGGGAAGGGGGGGGGGGAACTGAATTCAGACAAGAACACGATACAACGAATCGTCTTCTTTCTCTAATAATTTAATGAAACGTGAAAGCTTCCGCGCTTCGCGCGGGATGGGCGAAATGAATTCCGACAAGGATTAACAGTAATAATTTCATGAAACGTCAGAGTTTCCGCGCTTCACGCGAGAAGGGCGAAAATGAATTCAGACGGATTAAGAGTCGGAACCGGTACAATGAATCGTATTCTTTCTCTAATAATTTAATTAAGTGTCAAAGCTTCCGCGCTTCGCGCGGGAGGGGTAAAATGAATTCAGACAAGAATACGGTACAACGAATCGTCTTCTTTCTATAATAATTTAATGAAACGTGAAAGCTTCCGCGCTTCGCGCGGGATGGGGGAAAATGAATTCAGACAAGGATTAAAAGTAATAATTTATTGAAACGTCAAAACTGCTTCGCGCGGGAGGGGGGGGGGGGACTGGATCCAAACAAGAAATAAGAGTCGAGAACGGTACAATGGATCGTCTTCTTTCTCTAATAATTCATGGAACTGTCAAAGGGGGGGGGGGGGAGACTGAAAAATAACTTTGTTCCTGGCCACAGGTTTAGAGGGTTAAATTTGTAGACATTTGGACATTGGCATCAATATAATTGTCGGTAATTGTTTGCTCCTTTTGTCTGTAATGGGTGGCCTCTACACCCTCCCCACTCCCCCACTGACAAAGATCTAGCGACGCCCCTGATAACGACACAGTTTATACACTCGAGAATTTTTTTGCAAGTACTACTGATGAAGTACCGGACCACCGTCTTTGTGCATTGTGCGGCATCAAAGCATATACAACGTCTCAAGATGTGACAAATCACTTTTCTCTAACTTCTAACCAATAAGAAGGCCTCGTTTTTTCCCAGGAAGTGCCGGTGGACATTAATGCACCAAATGCGGTTCTCAAATTGCAAAAGATCCCTACTCTTGGAAGGGGTAGGAGAAAGCAATTTTACGTCATATTACTCCAGGAAGTGCCTAAAAATGCATCTAATTTGGTTCTAAAATTGCAAATGCTTCTTACTCTGGGAGGGGGCCAGAACCCACTCCCAAACCAACCCCCGCTTGGTCGCTCCGCTCCCTCGCCGCTTAAACCTCGTTCTGTCGCTTCATCGTTTTACATATATTTAACCCCATGCCATTTGGTCCCCCCCCCCGGTGAGAAATTCCTGGATCCGCCACTGATGCCCATACCCCTTGAGCTTCGGGGGCTCCGCCCCTTGACCCCCGCCGGGGCTTTGCCCCTATACCCCACTTTGCGAAACGTTCAGCGGGGCCTGCATGTTAGAGTGGGGTGCTGCGGATTTTTTTGGTCAGCCCCCCAAACGTTTTTGCTCATTACGCCACTGCCGCCGAATGTACATACAAAAAGTGATATATTCGGTCATGACCTTCATACACTAATATGAGGATATTCGGGCCTCTCGTTGCCCTCATTTGCCTTGCTGTCAAAAAATTGTCAGCGAGTGAGGAAGGAAGACACTTTAGTATCTTCCAAATTTTATTTTCTCTTGTAATTACATATTTTAACCGTTTCTGGTATTTGATTTTTTTTTTACAAAATCAACGTTTTCCAAATCATTCTCTTGCGGCACCCCGGTTGAAAAACGCTGTGCTGGAGTTACAAAATCAAATGAGATGAATTACCAGAGAGCGGATATTTATTTTCTTTTGACATGGCACCGTACATATAACTTGAAGGCAATTTCTATTTCAAAATCAAAAACAAAAATTGAAAACATATTATACTTGTCCTCGGGGGTTGTTGTCCTCGAGGGTAGTAACAATAATAATAATAATAATAATAACGTTTTATTTACCCAGGGTAGCCAGGGTAGTTATGAAACTGCTCTTCCAGCGGGCCCTGCATAACATAACATAATTATTACTACCCTTCTCCAATCTAATATGCTGAGCGCCAAGCTAGAAGGCAGAAGGTCCCATTGTTATAAGTCTTTGGTATGACTCGGCCGGGATTCGAACCCACGACCTTCCGTACATGAGACGGGCGCTCTAACCACTGAGCCACCAGGCCCAGTAGTGTCCATAGGGGGAATTGTCCTCGGGGGGTAATTGTCCTCGGGGGGTAGTTGTCCTCGGGGGGTAGTTGTCCTCGGGGGTAATTGTTCCCGGGGGGTAGTTGTCCTCGGGGGGTAATTCTCCTTGGGGGTAATTGTCCTTGGGGGTAATTGTCCTTGGGGGGTAATTGTCCTCGGGGGGTAATTCTCCGGGGGGTAATTTTCCGGGGGGTAATCGTCCTACGGGGGTAGTTTTCCGGGGGGTAATTTTCCGGGGGGTGATTGCCCAGGGGGTAATTGTCCTGATACGATCTAAAACAATCCTGGGGATAAACAGAACCTTAAACATTAAGGGATCATACAATAAAGTTTATTACTCGAATCCAATTGATCAATGAGGTTGAAAAACATTTCTACACGGTCTCCGTTTTTTTTTACCTTCTCTATAAAGAAAAGGAACCTGACAACATTTTGGAAGATGTCTTTGAAGGAGAATTCCCTCGTAAAGAATCAAGGACCGCTCTGACAGTAGGCCTACATGCTAATGAGGTGGAGGTGAGTGTTTCCACGCGGAAGGTGTCTGTCGTTAATATTTCCAGAAACGTAGCATGTACTTCCAAACCAGGGTCCATTCGCATAAAACATATACCACTGGTGGTAAGTTTGCCATCAGTATCAAATAACATGGCAACATTGCTCGACAGCCAATCAAATCAAGATTTTCCTGGAATTTACCATTAATAACAAAATCACAATAAATGGTAGGCTTTATGAAACGGGGCCAAGATCTTTACCACTTATTCGTGGACTTGTCGTTATCAATGTGTATATTGTGCATACATAGGCCTGCTTATGCCTAGGTCACATATAAACCGGGCCCCGTACGATTTTCCCTACCCGGCGGCTTGCCGTGGATTTAGAGACCGTACGGGAACCGTCCGATTTTCATTTCTACGGCTTGTGTGGTCACATATTCGGCGGCGCCCGGGAGGTTGCCCGGAGAAACTTGGTCGAGTGAAATGCAAGGCGCATGTAAGGGTGCCGGCAGGGTGCCGGCAGAGTGCCGGCCAGTAACCTTACGGGCTCCGTCCGATGAGCAGATGTACCGATGGCTCCCGGAAGGTA